TTTATATAAAGAGAATATTTTTTTTCTATACACAGCAGAAACTAATTATTGTAATCACCTTGGAACCTGCATATATTCATATATGAATAATAGTCAATAAAACCAGAAACATTTGTTATGACATTACAAGGCTGCCTGCCATAAGTTGACATAACTTTGGCCCAAAACTCTGTCATTGTTTAATATTTTGAGCATATTTTGACACTATTTGATTAATATTGTGGCAATATTTGTTTCATATTGAGCATGAAGTAGGGGATACATTTAAGTAAGTTGGTTAAGTTTTTCATGTTTTTAGTCTAAAAAATTATTGAAAATATGAGACAAAGTTACCATGCTGTGAGGTAACTTTGTCCCTGATAATATATCTAATTGATTTGAGTGTAATATATCCTTGAGCTGATGTTAGTTTTATACAAATTAACATGTATATACTGTATGTTATTAATACATCAGATTGTCAATCTCAGAAACAGAAAATTGATTCCATTTTGAAATCACTTTTGGAGAATTTATTTTACCAAGTATCTTCTCATTTGTATGGAATATAATCCTCCTTTACAGACTGTCTCCAACACTTTGAGCCTTTTTTCATATAATTAATAACTGGTCCGTCTTTGGAGATGCAAAATACAAACTGTAGCTATGGGTTGTTCAACTTACACATTGAAAATAAATACTCTTGTAAACAACAAGCTTTCATAAGTAAAGGTAGAAAATTAACATTATTGGAAAATAACTAAATATAATATGTTTACACAGCAAAAATGCCTTTGAAGAACATTATTTGCATTGTTATGATAAAGGAACTAAGAAACTAAGTTGGGCTAATGTTACTCCAGATCTTGGGCCAAAGTTACCACAAGGTTTAAAGTAGTCAATAGAAAATATGTAATAAATTTAATTTTAAACATTAATTACTTAGTAAACAAGTCTAAAAAAATGTACTTATCAAAACATAAAGACTCAGAAGTTGTAGGAAGTATATATTCACTAATGAAAACATCAGAGGTACTGTATGCCTTGGCAAAAGCTTGAACTACACAATCATTCGGCACATCTAACTAGTACTGTCATCTACTTTTTTCATGTCAAAATTCACTGAATTATGTAACATTGGAAATAAATGTTTTCTATTTTTGGGTCAAAGTTACCCCAACTTAAAATTATATCAAAATGATTAAAAACGATTTAACTTGATTGTATAGCAGTTGTAATTATTAATTACAGTAATCATAAATCATCCAGTATATAATTGAAGCAAGAAATGCCAGCAATTTAAGTCATTGTATTGCATGTAAGTAACAATTAATACAATTACTTCTTGATGTTTAAAACACTGGTTACAACTGAAAAAATAACAAGCTTAGATGTGCCATTTACCTGATGATGATAACTATAACTGAAACTGACTACAATAAGTGACTTCTAATATACTATTGGACAGAAACTTTATTTTTAATTTCAACTATTTTTCAGAAAAAATACATAAATAACACTACATATAATGTCACTACAATTTAGCTGATATTATTGTATTGATATATTTTGTAAGAACAATAAATAATTCATCAATTAAACAGCTTGAGATGTTGGGAAGCATTTATTTTCTATACACAAATGTTTTCAGCCTAATGTATAGAATCAAATAAATGCTTCTCAGCAGCCAAGGTGTTTATTGAATTATTCTTTCTGCTGAATATTGGTTTAGTTGACTAATAAATAATTATCTTAAAAAACTTTATAGAAAGCTCAAGCATTTTCAGGCTTTATGCTTCAGAAGGCAATAAGAAAAAATTATTTTGCTAACTCCTCATGAAGATAAGTGTGTGAAAGTGCTTGAGTTTTCTAAAAGCTTATCTTTCAAAATAAAAATAATTTGAATTAGAATTATGTTTGATGGGCTTCTTCCACAAAGACATCAGTGGATAATAGAAATAACTTTGTTTTTTCCAATTAAATATCAATAACATTCAGTTCAGTAACTTCATTTTTTTACTATAAAAAATTTAAAATAAGCCATAAAATTAGACATGCAAAAACATTTTTTTAATATTTTAGAATGTACAGAATATACATTAAATATAATAGATATTAAAAAATCATTAATTTTAGAGTTATAGAATCAACTAATTGATTTTAAAATTTAATTAATCATATCCAAATGGTCAGGGGTCCTGTTTCAGATTAAAAAAGATGAATTAGATTAGCATGGTTAAAATTTTGCATTTACTTGTGCTATGCACTCAAATTTTCAAAATTCCATCTGCAGTCAGAACTTCAAAATTCTCTTATTCCACGACAAAAACATATGATGGATTTCAATAGCTGTCAACCATCAATGTAGCAGCAGAATTTATTATATTTCTGTATGCATGATTCCATATAAGATACAAATATTTGCAATGGAAATCAAATTTTATATTTTTAATTCATAATAGTATAAATTTTGTTTGGAAACATTATTCATTAGTCCAGCATTTGCTGTGTTGTGGTTCAATCATACCAAATTACGTAGAGAAGAAACAAATCTTTGAATAGAGAGAAAAGAGTAAGAAACAATTAAATTTTTTCTCTTACTCCTTATAGTTCTAAAAAAGGAATGGAAAAAAAGTGGACATGCATTTAATGTAGTTAAACTCCATAATTTTATGTGAGTGATTAAAAAAAAAACAGTGATTTATATTTTAAATAATCAAATGATTCATTTTTTAATATTTTTTTAATCAAAAATATTTTATTTTATATCAATTAAACTTTTAAGCAATTAAAATTTTCATGCCCTAATAAAGAATCCATTTTCAAATTCAATCAGAATTGACATTATTATTCATTTGAGATCATTTGAAATTAAATTTGAACAACAAATATGTAATATGGCAGAAATGTCTGTATTTTCTTGACTGTTATTTTAATTTTTATATATATTTAAATATATAATAACCTAATAAGGGTAGATGAATAAATAACCAGCTGGGACAAGCAGCTATGATATTGCTTTTGGCTGGTTATTTATTGATCCACTCTTTATGTAAATATATTATATATAATATATATTTCTATATAATCAAATATACTTACCTAAATATAAACTACATATTCTGTTTATAAGTGTAGCAGTATTTATAAATTAGTATACATAAAAATTATTTATGAATATGCCTTACAATCTGGTAAAGCCAAAAGAATTTTTGGTAAACATTTAAATCATTTTATTGACTATTTTAATTATGAGCAAAGTTTGAAATTGATTGATTAAATTTTTTGCGTCACAGATGTAGCTAAAACGTAATATTTCTCTGTTACGTATACTGTACATCCTACAATTTTGTATTTGCTGTCTTCCTAACGTTGATGAGGTTTTCCTGTATCATCCATCATGCCAAATAATTATTAAAATACGACGAAATACGCAGGATTCTTATCGAATTGCGTCGCGTTCCGTGAATTTTTACGTCGCCATTCATATTCACGCTTGTAAAATTTTAACCAATCACGTAACATTTTTAAATATTTAAAAATCCGTGACGTATGTGCGAAATCGCAATAGAATCTCGTTTATAGCGCGAGCTTATTTTTGAAAAAATGAACACAAAATGGCGCGTACGATCGAAACATTNATAGAATCTGATAAAACTATATCAGATTTTTATTTAATTCTGTATAATGAATTTTATAAAGAAATGAACTCAATTTTTTCTTACTGTAATTAATATAAGACTATCTAATATGGCAGACTCACCATAACGTGTACAGTACGTAGTTAGCAGCTTCTTTAGATGATATAGTACAGTATTTGTTTATTTTATAAAACACATATCCAGGCTTCTTTGCCACCTTCAATCGTTTCCTATTCTCAAGAAATCAGAAAAATATTTATAAATTTTGGCATTTTCCTTATTAAAGAGTAAAACTTCTTGCTTTTTATAAGAATTTTTTAGCATAAAACAATAAATTTAAAAATTATATTAATGTCATAATAAAACATTTTTTACACTCAACTATTGTACTTAATTGTATTCTCCAGTTTAAATTAATTAAGCATTAAACCCCTAAAATTTACTTCAAAAACATTCCTTCCGATCGTTCTTTAATTATAATTAATGCTAAAAATACATTTATAAATTTAATTACTACAAATGTCTTGATTATAAACGAAGGCCGCAACTACTTTAAAATAATTTTGCTATTTAATTTTAATTAGCTTAATTATTTAATTCCTTTATTATATACACAAAATAAAATATTTCATTATTCCAAAGCAAACATTATTAAATTCGAGATTTTAAAAAGGTTTTTATGGAATACAGTACATGTATAATGGGAAATAATTAAGGACTGGTAAAGTTGCGGGTCGATGACTGACGTCACTTATCAGGGAATTGTCAATTGTCGGTCACGTGTTAGGAAGGGTAAGTATTGTCATTGTTGCGTAAATGATTACGTGTTTGGAAACGTTAACACATAAACGGCGACAATTGGTAACAGTGTTATTACTCTATCGGTCGTTAGTATCTTTGCGAATGGACCAAATTTAGTGATATGGATGGCATTTTTTATATAATAAAAATACTGATCGTAAGTACAAATTGTAATGATGTATAAGAACGATAATCAGTCTCGGAAAATACAAGAAATGCTTAACTGTAAGGAAAATTATATTGCACAAAACGCGAGAATTCTCCCGAATGCAACAAGTTCAGGTCACAGGTAAAATGTCAGATAGAAAGGTCACCTGTTCGTAAGTTTTATGCATAATTTACTTGTTTTTCACCCCAAATAATTTTTTTTGGCATCTACAGTTTAAAATTCGCATTGATTCACTAAAATTTTAAGTACAGTTGCGAAATATTCAGGACAGCTTTAACACAATAGAAAACATGTAAACACCGTGGTAACCGTTACCCTTGTTTAGGGCCCCTAAGCTGAGCCTGAACAATTTAGGACCTTTACAAATTACAGTCTAATTAAGCTTGATAAGGCATCAAAAGCAGGCGATTTTCTTATTGAATATTATAATTTAACGCTTAAAGAACTTAAAATTAGTTCTTTAGTTTAGTCCAGGTTTGTCTTTGGAATGAAAAATTTTAGTTTAAATTAGTTTCTAAAAAAATTTAAAAAGTTACAGTTTTAATTAAAATCAAGATTTTATTTCTATCTAAATAAATTAACATAATTAATAGTAATTAATTATTCTGAAAGCTGCAGATACTACTACTACAAAACTGCATTTCAAAGGGCAGATTCTGTTTTGGATTTATTCTTTAAAATTAATTTTATATTCGAATTATTCAGTAGGATTTGTATTTACAGGGTGGTCCAAAAGTCTGTTAACATCGTGAATTGCTCATGCAAATTAGGAAAGGATTTTGTAGTTTATACTTATACTTATAGTATAAAGTATTTGAATAAAGGCAGCGGGA